GTCAGACTAGGCAACACAGTGAGACCCTACTGCAGAAATAAATAAAGATAAAAATTAATGAGTCAAATAAATAAAATTCATTGATTTGACCAGTAAAGTTTGGTGAGTTTCGACAAAAGTATACATTCATGTAACAACTACCACAATCAACATGTAGAATATTTCCTTCGGTACTAAAAATTCTTTCGTGTCTTTATGTGATAAGGCCTCCAATCCCYGGTCCTAAGGAACTATTAATCTCTGCTTCCCCATCACACACCTCTAGTACAGGAGATATTCAGGAGTGCTACCACTAAACTACATTCCCTGGCCCTCTGGTAAAAATTTTTCTTTTGAGATGGGTTCTTGTTAATTTATCCAGGTTGGCCTTGAACTTGTGGTCTTTCTGCCTCAATCTCCCAAAATGCTGAGATTATAGGTGTGCACCATCATGCCTGACTCGATTTCTGCCTCCTGTCACTATAGTATTCATGTAAATGGACTCAAACATTATGTACTTATATGTCTGTCTTTTTTTTTTACTTAGCATTAGTACTTGTGAGATTCATCCATATTGCTGCATGTATCATAATTCTGAGTATTCCACTATGTTTATGTATGTAGGTAGTGTCTACATGTATGTGCATATACATTTCTGTATACACACACACACACACACACACACACACACACACACACACACACATACCATAATTTGTTTATCTACCCAGTTAATATACATTTGGATTGCTTCCAGGTTTTGACAATTATAAATAATGCTGCTACGAATAATCACAATCATTGTGGACATATGCCTTCATTTCTCTTGGGTAAATATACAAAAGAACCCTCGGGTCATATAGAGTATGTGTATATTTAACTTAAAAAATACTGCCAAGGGCTGGGGCTGTAGCTCAGTGGTAGAGCACACACCTATCACTTGTGAGGCACTGGGTTTGAACCTCAGCACCATATAAATAAATAAATACAGAAAGGTATTGTGTCCAACTAAAAAACATAAAAAAAAAAAAAAATACTGCCAAGGGCTGGGGTTGTAGCTCAGGGTAAGCACTTGCCTTGCACATGTTGAGGCCCTGGGTTCGATCCTTAGAACCACATAAAAATAAGTAAAAAAAAACCACTGCCCAAAGTCTTTGCATTCTCCATACCAATGCATGGGAATTCCTGATGCTTCACACTATCAGAATGGGTTAATTTAATTTTTATTAATTTTGGAGGATACTAGGGATTGAACCCAAGGTGCTTTTACCACTGAGCTACATACATCCCAGTACCTTTTATTTTCTTATTTTGAGACAGGATCTAACTAAGCTGCAAAGGGTCTTGATAAGTTGTTGAGGCTGGCCTCAAATTTGTGATACTCCTGCCTCAGCCTCCCAAGTCACTGGGTTACAGGCATGTGCCACCACATCCATCTATTTTTATTATTTTTATTATTTTTCTTTTTTTTTTTTTCCTTCAATGCTGGAGATGGAACCCAAGTCTTCATACAGGCTAGGCAAGAGTTTCCCCACCCACTGCAGTCAGTGTTTTTAATTTTAATTTTTCTAATGCATGTGGTAGTGGTATCTCATTGTAGTTTTTATCTGTTTCCCTGATGACTAATGATAAGAGTACTTTTTCAGTGCTAATGTATTTACCAAACCTTCTTTTGTGAAATATCTATTCAAGCTAGAAGGCATGCTGAGGCAGGAGAATTTCAAGTTCAAAGCTAGTCTCAGTAACTTATTAAGGCCCTAAGCAACTTAGTGAAACTGTCTCAAAATAAAAAATAAAAAGGCCTGAGGATGTGGCTCAGTGGTCAAGCATCCCTGTCACCCAAAAAAAGAAAATAGCTATTCAAATATTTTTGCCATTTTAAACTGGTTGTCTTATTATTATGTTATAATAAGAGTTCTTCATATATTTTGGATAAAAGACCTTTATCAAAAAAATATAGATAAATAGAGAGAGAGAAAAGAGAGAGAGAGAGAGAGAGAGAGAGAGAGAGAGAGAGAGAGAGAGCGAGCGCACACATGCTGGGTATGGTGGTGCACACCTGTGATCCCAGTGACTGGGGAGGCTGAGGCAGGCTGAGGCAGGAGGATCTCAAGTTCAAGATCAGCAACTTAGCAAGCCTCACCAATTTAATGAGACCCTGTCTCAAAATTAAAATAAAAAGGGCTGGAGATGTGGCTCAATGGTTAAGTACCCCTAGGTTCAATCCCCAGTAGCCACCCCAAATTATATTTTATATATTTTTTCCTCTCAAAATATTTAGAATATTTTCTCCAGGACTGTGATTTGCCTTTTACTTTCCTTTTTAGTGTCTTTTCAAAGTAACATTTTTATTCGTTTATGAAAGCCAACTCAACTTATCAATTTTGTCTTTTAGATGCTTTATCTAAAAAATCTTAACCAAATTCAAGGTGACAAAGATGACATTTAGGTCTATGATCCATTTGTGTTATTTTTATGTAGGGATTGTTTAAAACAATCTTACTACTAAACTGCCTTAGCTTCACCACTGAAAAAAGCATATGTGTGTGTGTGTGTGTGTGTGTGTGTGTGTGTGTGTATATGTCTATCTTTTCACTAATACTAGGTTTACATAAGGCTCAAGTAAAGTTCTGCACCACTTGACAATGGGACACAGTCTGAGAAACATTAGATGATCTCACCATCATGTGAACATCATAGAATATACTTACACAAATCTAGATGATACAGGTCAATCACCAATCATGTCACTTTTTTTTTTCCTTTCATTACTGGGAATCCTCAAGGGCCTTATACATACTAGGCAAGCACTCTACCATGAGCTACATCCCCAGTCCTTCTTTATTTTTGATACAAGGTCTTAATAAATTCACAAGGCTGGCCCTCAAACATGCAGTCATCCTACATTAGCCTCCCTAGTAGCTGGAATTACAGGCATGCACCATCACATTCATATAAACCAGTATTATAATTGCTTATTATCATTACCAAGTATTATGTACTGCACATAATTATATATGCTATATTTTATGGGCATCAAAGTTGGTTAATCTATTCCAGCTTCACACAAAGAAGCTGAGTAAAGCTTTGGGTCTTATGATGACTACAACATCACTATCATCTTGTGGGACCACTATCAGATATGTAGTCTGTCAATGACCAAAACATAATTATGCAAGACATGCCTGTATAGTCCTTGATGACTTAACTCTAGTAACAATCTCTTCCTATTACTTTGAAGGAATCTCATAGATATGAAACAATAAGACTACAAAATGTCACACATTTAAAAACAGTAAATGTAAAAATTCTTTTCATCCCATAGCACAAAATTTATTCATTCACTTTTCTTCTTCTTCTTCTTCTTTTTTTTTTTTTGGTACGTGGTGCTGGGGATCAAACCCAGGGCCTTGTGCATACAAGGCAAGCACACACTACCAACTGAGCTATATCCCCCCAGCCCTTATTCTAAAGAATTAAAGTTAATTGATTTCATTTATATAATCCATGTACTTCAAATGTACTTGATGATTATTCAGATAATAAAGGAATTGCCAATGGGACCCTACAGATAAAAGAATATCTCAGCCTTTTTAGTATCTTTTGGTTTCCACAGATCTAACAACACAATTTTGACATACTTTATTTACTATAGTGTAAAATTAGCACTAATTACTTCCCAGGAATTTTAACTTCATTGCGAAATATAGTTCATCTTAAATCTATAAATTAGCTTTACAAACAACCATATATACAAGACTGACAAATATGCAGCATCTGTGACAATTCCTATGCAGCATCTGTGACAATTCCTATCATAAAAACTATTTAGCAACTATAGATTCATAACCAGTTCTTAAAAACATAAAAACCAAAATTATACAGTCCTTTCATAATTTGAGAAGCCATAAAATTGTTGAGATGTCTAATAATAATACAAAATTATGAATACCTTGATTGTTCTCCTATTCGATAATAAGCAGTAAAAGTGGGCCAGTTTTATTTGCCCATAATCAATACATTATTTGATTAAAATAAATCATAAGCTCTTGGGCTGGGGATGTGGCTCAAGCGGTAGCGCGCTCGCCTGGCATGCGTGCGACCCGGGTTCGATCCTCAGCACCACATACCAACAAAGATGTTGTGTCCGCCGAGAACTAAAAAATAAATAAAATTCTCTCTCTCTCTCTCCCCCTCTCTAAAAAAAAAAAAAAAAAAAAAAAAAGCAAATCATAAGCTCTGGAACCATTTCAGAACTTCTTACACAACAAAAGAATCAGAGAAAGAAAAGCTCTGACAAAATAAAAATTAAAATTTTACTGTAATTTTAAAAATTCTTTTGAGATATTTCTGTCCTACTTAACCAAAGAGAATGTCTCTCTAAAATTAACCAGGTCTAGTTGTGCTTTAATCCTAGACATGAAATAATCTACAGTATGAATTCATTAACTTATTATAGTGGTCAAAAAAGGAAAATCATAATAATTCAGACTCACAAGATAAAATTATATAAATACCTTACAGAACTATTTTGTATTATCAAGTAAAAAGAAACAGGGAATTCTACTTTAAATTATTTTTTGCCTACACTTCCCAGAAACAAAATCATAGGTTGATTTTCACTCAATCTTTCACATTCCCTAAAGGAACAATTTGTTTTTAAGATGCCTTCGAATTTTTCAACTTCACTCAATTCTTAGGTAAACCACCACTGTCTGTTTCCATGCTTCAAAAACATTAAAAAAAAAAGCAAAATGAGCTTACAATAGGATAAAAAGGGTACTTTTATCTTACTAAATTCCTATTAAGATTACCCATCCTCAATGCTGTCTCTAAAAACAGCAATAGTTTTACAACAGATTACACATGAGCCACTTATAAGCTTTTGGGTTGAATTTCTTTCAATCTCTGCCTCCACCCCATTCTCAGATTGGCAGCATTGCTTATTAATTTTCCAGTTCACTCAGATGACATGACAGCTCTTCACTGAGAAAATGAGAAAGAAAAATAAACTCACTTACCCTTCCTTAGACATTCTTAAAGATCTACTTCCTCGGAATAAGAATACAGGATCAACAAACAAGCTCCACTGATCTCTTGAGAACTGTAGCTCATTTGTTAGAGCACAGAGAACTCAGGCCCTGAGAGGCCCAACAAATTCGGGCACAATGCCGAACCCTAACAAGGCAATATCTCTGTGACCAATATTCTCAGCTTTAAATACTTGAAATCCTACTAATAGAAAAAAAAAAAATGAAGACCAGGAAAAATAACTAATGGTCTGAATTGTTTAAGACTGTCCAGTTAAGGAAAGAGACAATACAAATGGCAAGTTCCTGTGAAAAATAGTAATTGTTACTGGCAAACCCAGAAAAAGCAAATTTACCCCCTAATGAGGCCCTCCAACAGTACACAAACAATGTGTCACAGAATCAAACAGCCCTAGTCAGTCACAATCATTTTCAGTTTATTCCGGGGGGGTGGGGGTGTGTGTGTTAAAATAATTTAATGTTTTAATTATTAGTTATTTCCTCCCTTAGAAAATGAACAATATGAACTACAAGAAAAGGAAGTATTTATGTGCTGATCACATTACAGGATGAAACTAAGTATTTCCACACTGAGGTCTTTTTTTCTAATTTTATTAACTGGTCTTAGGGAAAACTCAATTGCCTGAAATTCTCAGCTCATGTGAAAAGATGGCTACATATCTTTGGCATATGGGGGATAAATCAAGAACGCTCTAAAGTATGTATTTCAAATCTCAGAGCAAGCTGAAGCTTGGAAAAAAAAAAAACAAAAAACATCTGCAACATTCCTGCCTCCTAACCAATATAATGCATAGGGATTACACAACAACAGGAGAAGAAATGTAAACAAGTAGGCTAAAGTCTAAGAACACTCAGATGGCAAATAAATCCTAGTGGTGATTCAAATTAAAAACAAAACATATACACCTTAAGGAAATACTACTTAAATTTTAAGAAACCCTTTATCTCTTTAAACATTACCTAATTACCTCTTTAAACATTATCTTACCATAAAGTTTTCTGTTTATTAAGATGTTTAAGTTAGTCACCAAATAATTAAAACACTATTACATGCTGTACATTCAAAGTAAAATTATTTTCAGCTTTATTCAGAAGAACATATGACATAATGGAAAGAGAAACAGAGCCAGAAAACAGGTTTAAATTCCAATTCCTCCACTTTCTGGAACTGGAGATAAATTACTTATCTGTAAACTCTGATTTTCCATCTATGGAAAAGAAATAACATGATAGGATTGTTGTCTGTCATACACAAGCATTCAAAGAATTACTATAACTTAGGAGTGGGGGAACAGGAAAAGCAACTGGATTGTTAGCCATTACTCACTGGTATAACTCTTTTTTAAAAATCCAAATCTCGCCAGCAGCTCAGAATAGGATTATTCTGATCACCAAAAAAACCTTATTAGTTTCTGAGTCTTCACCTGCCATTCCTTAGGAATGTGGAAACAATAATCAAGGCAGTAGAATGATATAGTGACAAAAAAAAATTTAACAATATTTTGCTGTTCTACCTCACTCTTATTCTAATAGGTCATCCTCCATCTGTGGATTATTTTAAAAATATGAGGGGCTGGGGTTGTGGCTCAGAGGTAAAGTGCTTGTGCTCATCTAGTATGTGTGAGGCACTGGGTTCGATCCTCAGCACCACATTAATATAAAATAAAGATATTGTGTCAACCTAAAACTAAAAAAATAAAGAAACAAAGAAAGAACATGACTCCCTAGCATTCCTGAGGATCTAGTTTGTCCATGTGATTTTTCAACTTATAAAATGGCTACCGAAATTTTAATAATTTACTCATTTGAATATTTGATATCATACTAAAATGACAGTTAAGTCAGCCTTATTGATGACAATTAAAAAGCTAAATGGCTGACCAGGCACAAAAAGATAAATACTGTACCCTCTCACTCACAAGTGCAAGCTAAAAATGTTGACCTCATAGAAGGAAAGAGAAGAACAGTGGTCACTAGAAGCTAGGAAGGGTAGGGGGAGGGTGTATAGAGGACAGATAACAGGTACCAAAATAGACTTACATAAAAGGAATAAGTTCTAGCATTCTACAGCAAAGTAGGGTGACTATAGTTTACAAGTTTATTATATATTTCACAAAAGACTACAGGAGAGAGTGCTAAGGCTCCCAACACAATGAATTAATTGTTGAAGAAGACACAAATGCTAATTATCCCTATTGCATTGCATATCGTATGCATGTATCTAATTATCACTGTACCCCCCAAAATATGTATCAATTTTTTTTAGAAAAACTGAACAATATTCATATGATATCCTTCAGTATTTATGAGAGAAAGAAATCAAAAATTATCTCATGACCTGGCATTTCTGTCTGCATGTAACCTGATACATGCTATTAATTTGAGGTTTTAAAAAAAGTCTTTATAAACATTTTTAAATCTACTAGTATATCAATCTGTATATAGGTATTACAAAAATTATTTTATACATACAAACAAATTTACTTTTATTCCTTAAATACATACAATAAATTTGAGAAGAAACTATAGTTCAATAGGTTTAAATAAAGATTGCTATGAGTTTGGAGGCCTAAATTTCAATCAATTCAAATAAACATACAAATTTCACACAAATATACAAATGTCTTAAAAAGTTTAAAGTGATCGTAATATATTTTAAAATAAGGCAAAAGATTGGTTAGCAAGAAATTCATAAACCTAATTATTTATCAAATTTCAGCTCAACATAATAAAAACCACTGTTGAATTCATTAGCTATGTTCATCAAGGAAAAAAAAAATCAATTCACTGCCTTAGAGAAAGCTGGCTGTATTAGAATCAGAACTTTAAAAAAGTAAAAATCAAATACCTGATTTCAGCATCATGGGAACAGTCAATGTGAAGAGCTGATGAAAAATCTAATTTTTCCATTCTTGGATTTGGTAAATACAAATTCTGATCTGTATTGACCACTACCAGCTTCTAGATGTTAAACACAGAACCATTAAAGAAATAATTTTCTAACCTGCCTCCTTTAGGTGACTAAGCAGCTCAGATTATCTTCTGACTATATAGCAAAACATATTCCAATGAAGGGTTTGGCCTGATGATTACACTCAAGTTTTGAAAACTGAACAACCATAATAAGGAAATGAAGGAGGAACAACAGTCATACATTCTGAAGGTTAATTTCTTAATAATGACACATGACCATTATATTTCCATATTGTAATTTAGAAGACTAATATTATTTCAAGAAAAAAAGCTGTTAGATATTCATTTACTTAACTAAGAATATTTAGCTGCTTCTAAAAGAAAATTTGAAACTATCACATACAATGTACAGATTCATCATGGACTGCCTAATTTAATCAGTGGCAAATTACCAACTCAAATAATTGTCTTTAAAAAAAATCTTAGAAACAGAATACAAATGGACTCAACTAGAAAACTAAAATAAATTTCTTCGAAATTACTTCTATTTAAAATTTTTAAAAAAACAAATACTTTTAGGAGGAATAAGTTTGAGATCTACTGTAACTATAGTACTGCAACACAGTAACTATAGTCAATAATAAGTCTTACATACCTGAAAATTGGTAAGAGTAGATTTTAAGTGTTCTCACCACACACACACACACACACACACACACACACACACAAAATTGGTATGTAAGATAGTATGTGTTAGTTTTATTTAGCCATTTCACAGAGTATACATTTTTTAAAACATCATTTTTTAAACCATTAATTCATGTAATTTTTGTCAATTTAAAAAATAAAGCAAGGCACACTGGTGCACACCTATAATCCCAGCAAACTAGGAGGTTTGCAAGTTTGAGGCCAGCCTGGGCAACTTGAGGAAACCTTGTCTCAAAAACTAAAGAGGGCTGGGGAAGTAGCTCAGAGGTAAAACACCCTGGAGTTTTATCCCTAGGTACCACAAAAATGAATGAATGAATGAATGAATAGTTTAAAAATTAAAAATAGATTGGAACCCAATTTTTTATTTTATAAAAACTTCAATTGAAGATGCTTCTTCTATTATTTCTACTGTTTCATATTGCACCCTACTATGTAAAGAATGTAGGGTGGAGAGGCCATCTAAACTTCAGGAAATACCATTCTAAATGAGTCAGAAAAGCATCCAGTCTATGGTATATTAAATACAATTAGAATGTTTACTAGGTGATCCCTCTTCATTGCATAATTCTTTGTTTTCATTGATAAAAATGTCACAACCTTGGGCTGGGGTTGTAGCTCAGTAGCAGAGCACTCACCTAGTATGTGTGAGGCACTGGGTCTGATCTTTAGCACCACATAAAAATAAATAAATAAAATAAAGTCATTGTGTCCATCTACAACTAAAGAAAAATATTTTTTGTAAAAAAAAAAAGTCACATCCTATCAAATATATACTTTGTAGCATAAAACTAAGAAATTAACTGAATAAAAAAATATAGAATGCCTCTACATAACGATGTGTATGTCTTTTATTTACAGACACACATAAATGCTGTTTTTCACTTTAATTCCCATGTCATACACCAACATGTCACACACAGAAAAGAATCAATACCCACTCACTGATCTAGAGTCTTGATGGAAACCAGAAATGTTTATACTTTTTCAGAGTTTGAGGAATAACAGTAGCCTAAAACCAAGAAATGCTACACAATTATGTACCATGATACCATGAGGTAAGTATCACCAGCCTGCTGTAAAACCAACTATTAATAAATAATTTTAAAAACAATACCACACCGGGCATAGTGGTACATGCCTATAATCCCAGTAGCTTGGGAGGCTGAGAGAGGAGCATCACAATTTCAAGACAAGCCTTAATAACTCAGCTAGGGCCTAAGCAACTTAGTGAGACCCTGCCTCAAAAAAAAGGTTGGGGATATGGCTCAGTGGTAAAGTGCTCCTGTGTTAAATCACCAGTACCAAAAATAAATATATAAAACAATACCAAATAAATATTTTCTTGCTGGGCATGGTGGCACACACCTGTAATCTCAGCAGCTTGGGAGACTAAAGCAGAAGCATCACAAGTTCAAAGCTAGCCTTAGCAACTTAGTGAGGCCCTAAGTAACTCAGTGATACTCTGTCTCTAAATAAAATACAAAAAAGGGCTGGGGTGGTGCTGGGGTTGTGGCTCAGTGGCAGAGTGCTTGTGAGGCACTGGGTTTGATTCCTTAGTACCACATGAAAATAAATAACAAAAGAAAGATATTGTGTCCATGTTTAAAAAAAATGGGGCAGGGGGGCCTGGAGATTCACCTGAGTTCACTCCCCAGTGCCAAAAAAAGAATTTCACTTTCAG